TTCCCCTCTCTCTCTCATTCACACGTGTGCGAATGAAAACACACACTAACACGCTCACAAGCACGAAATACAATGTACTAATAATAATAATAATATGCACTCGAGCCACAAGCCTAACGAGGTTGCAAGGCGTTGGGGCATCACATCACACCAGGCAGCCAGCCGTAGCAAGCTATAATTATGTAATTAAAAGGAGTATATAATAATCATAATTAATTGCAATACAAATTGTAAGTGTATCAGTCCCTAGCCAAGTCCTCCTCGGCTTCACATTTTAAAACATCTTTATCGCGAGCTGATTGCTATCTTGTACCATCTCTAACCTCCCGACTTTTTGGGATTTGTCACCACTGTCAAGGATGGAAAAAAATCTTCCCTTTGAGGAGAAAGTTATTACGGTTAATCCATCTTCTCCAGGAATTTCAGTTTCATCATATTCTAGCTCTCCGTTTTGTGACTGGAATTCAGTGCTTTCAGTGTGATTTACAAAACGGGACAAAATGGAGTAAGTAGCATACAAGATAGCACTAAGCTCGCGTTATGTCACATGACCCTCGAACAAAGTAACACCTATACTGCTCTCGCTGGGAGGAATAAGATGATTACTTTGGGTACCCCCATATTTGAAACGGATTTTATGTGGTACGGTACTCTGTGAAGAAATTCGTATCGTTTATAAAACGACAACGAACGAAAGCAAGAAGCCCTATGGACACTGCTGAGCAAAGAATCATAATACGGTATTATGTTTGTGGGATTTACCCGCAATTACGTTTGCATAACAGCCAATGGGTATGGACCGATTTAGTGTTTGTTTTGGAAATAAATGTGAAAATAATTTCCCGTTCGTGAGAAGCATTACACTATATCCATGTCGCCTCTTTCAGTGGTATCAAAGACAGAGCAATTTTTCCTCTTTGATTCTCTGTTGACCAATAAATAGAATCTCGAGCCCCGTTATCTGGATCGATAACGAAGCTTTCTGAAGTTCTTGCTTGTCATCTCTAGGTGTGAAATACAATTTTTTCTCAAATGTGAATACCAACTGGTGAGTTGCCTCTTGCGAATGACCCCCCTGCTAGCGAGTTTCGTCATTAAAGTGAGTAACCAAGGTTTCTATTCACCAAGTGAACATTCTCTTCACTAAGTGCGAGGAATTACGGACAAGTTGTAGCTCTACCACATACGTGTTCTTCAAGGTTATATCAACCATTTTCGATTTCGGTAACTTCAAACTTTTAACCTGAGAATGATTTATCGAATAAGGGGCGCCTCAAAGCACATGTAGGCCTACGCATACGATTTCTAAATACTTTGATTGGATCATCGCGGGAGGCAGCGTCTTTCACTCTTTTTTTTACAAAAGGTTTTGTAATCTGCGGTTTCTTAGCGGAGCACCTGATTAGAAAATAAATAAATTCAAATATTTTTGTTGCACCAACTTTGTTTGTGGAGTCATTATATCGTTCCCTTTTCTCATCCTCATCCCTCCTCCTTCTCGGGGGTATTCATGGTTGTCTTACACCGTCTTCTCATCTTTAGCCGTCTCAGTGTTCACCATGTTCCCCCTCCCAAATTCCTTCTCCCCCCAACCTTCCTTCTCCTCCCACCTTCCTTCTCCTCCCACCTTCCTTCTCCTCCCACCTCCCCTCTCACTCCCACCTCCCCTCTCACTCCCACCTCCCCCTCTCTCTCCTACCTTCCTTCTCCTCCCACCTTCCCTCTCCCTCCCACCTTCCTTCTCCTCCCACCTTCCTTCTTCTCCCACCTTCCTGCTCCTCTCACCTTCCTTCTCCTCCCGCACCACCCCGTCCTATCAACACCATTCACAGAAACTGCGCGTAAATATAGTTTGGGAAAAGGTCCAAAGGTGTGATGGTTTGAGATTGCAATAAAAAAAATTGAATGTGACAATAAGTAATAGACTCTTTCTTTCTAAAAATAGAACACTTTTTACTAATACTATCACAGAAGCAACAGAAAGAGAAACTAATTTGGACACAGTTTCTGTCATGAATGTAAACTTTCTAAAGTCTGAAAGACGCCCTGAGCTCTCTCTTTCCAAGGGGTAGGGGAGGACGGTAGTTGGCCGGGATACGTTCCTTACCACACTCATCACAGCACAGGTTTCTTAGGGAGTCAATCTGAAAAGAACAAAAATACACAAAACATCAATGTAACTTCTGGCATAAAACTAATACCGTTTAATTACTACCTCCTCCCCCCCCCATCCTGTCCTCTTTGTAATTTGTTTCCTGGAAAGGGGTCGAAATTTGTTGTGGTTACCGAAAAAAGACCTACTTGAATCCACCTCGAGCATCTTTTACAAGCGTCTATTTAGTTTCCCTATCCCAACACACAGATATGTACGTGTACACGTACATTCTATTTTTTACATTTCATCGCTTCTACCACCCCCCTTACCTGTTAAGAAAATAAAAACAAAACAGCCGTAAACAAGAATTAAACAAGTTTCGACTTAGAATAACAATCTGAACAGACATATTGCACATGTCGTGGTAATGTGAGAAAATGCTTACTTGTTGGGCTGAAATTTCGATCACGTCTTGGAAAACGATCCACCTAACACTTTCACAGCACGGCGGGGTGGTGAGGGACCCTTCGTAAGTCCAGTAGTTGGTAGTGTTTCCTGTTGAAAAGGATTGCATTAGTTAGGGTAAGTAGATAAAAGTGTGAGGGATTAGGAGACGTATGCCAGCACAGTCGAAGAAGAGGATTGAAGTGGAGGAAAGTGTGTGTGTGTGTGTGTGTGTGTGTGTGTGTATGTATGTATATATATATGTGTGTGTGTGTGTGTGTG